TCCCGCTATTGCTGTTGCCTTGCTCTTGATCCTGCTCTTACCTGCTCTTGATCTTTCCCTTAGTCTTACTGTGGTAAGGGTCATTTGGAGCCTCGAAACCTTCACCCCTAATGCAGAATAGGCTTGGGCTACTTTCGGGAGGATTGGCCCGGGTGTTTGTGTTTTGCACAGCCCCTCGGCGTTGAAGCAAACCTCCCTGAATCCTGAACCCACAAAGAAAGGCGTTTCGGCATCTTCAACAGGGTTTGGGGACTATGGATCCCGATTAGGAAGACTATGTGTGTCTTACTTCAGGCCCAAAGACCGCTACACCGCCCTAAGTCCGAAACCCTCATACCAAAGACCCCAAAAACCCTAAAGCCCCGAAGCCAAAGACCCTCGAGCCCCTTTGCCATGGATACAGAAAGCCGAGAGGCACCTGGGTTAATGACGGGTTCGGACGGAGCTGCTTGAAGACCTGCTCCAAAAGGAAGGGGTCAGGGTGAAGGGCTGCGGGCTCGAGAGCTTTACCTGGGGGCTTCGGGTCGACGGCCTGCTACGGAAATGGGACTTTAGGGGTTTAGGGTTTTAGGACAACTCTCAATTTTGATGCCTCCCCTTGTTGGGATCACAAGGCCGCGGCTCAGCAAACCCTGAAACTCTCGAGAACTCTTCAATTCAAGAGGTCCTGTTTGGAGCTGCATCCTCTATATCCTCCCTACCGCTAAAAAAAAGTTTCAAGCTCATAAAGCACCACTCAATAGATAAAGCCACACCCCACATGCATCCTCCCATTGCTGAAAGCCACAAGACGTCGCACCTCAAAGCCGCATTCGAAGAAAAGGTCTGAAGGTAGTACCAGTAAAGGGTTTAGCGCCTCCTCAAGTCAGAGCTCTTTTGGGCTTATCAAAACCCCCAAGGCGGCCTGCAAGTCCAGCTGCCCACCGTCGTGCCCTCCATCCTGGGCTTCGTGTCGCAGACATACTTATTCTTGCTTTCTAGGGCTTACATAGGTTTGTTTTTCTAGCGTTTAGGGCCGTTTAGGATTTCCTCTGCATGCGTTTGTGAGTAGTGTCGGTACCGTACCGGTGAATGTTGTAGTAGTACCCCTGCTAGTACCTATAGAAGTATAGTAATACATGTCCCCTAAGCCCTGTTCGAACCTAAGAAGCAGGTGATTGGAAATCCCCGGGGCCAGAAACTTAACCCTAAACCCCAAACCCTAAAACCCTGAAACCCAAAAACCCTAAAACCCCAAACCCTAAACTTTGATTTCGGACCCGGCACCGCAGCATTCGCGATGAGGCCATACAGCCAGCCTAAGAGCAGAGTTGTGCGGAAAGGTTTCGGGTCTATAAGGGTTTATAGGGTTTAGGGCTTTAGGGTTTAGGGCTTTAGGGTTTAGGGCTTTGGGGTTTAGGGCTTTAGGGTTTCGGGCTTTAGGGTTTAGGGCTTTGGCCAAAAATGTCCCGACCGCCCGGCAGGCGGCGCCCGCTTTTTCCAAAGGATCGGTGGCTTTCAGGTTCCATACGCAACATGTCCGGCTACAGAGAATACATGTGACACATGCCCGAGGGTGAAAGGAGCAAATCCGGTTGTTTGCAACGGTAGTGGCTGTAGTGAGGCACAAAGCGCGAGGATCCCACTGCTCACTAAAGCAACACGAAGAAAACTTGTCAGAGAAGACATCGCCAAATGCAAATTTCTACCCGCGGCCAAGGCAGGATTGGCTTTCGGAAGGTGGGTCCGTCGAACGAAACCGTGTACAGAAAAGGCAACAGAGAGGGAAACAAAGAGACCGAGACAGATAGCCAGCCAGCCAGCCAGCTGCAGGCAGGCAGGCCGGCGGGCGGGCAGGCGGCAGGCAGGCCGAGCAGAGAGCAAGTGAGAGAGAACAAAAAACAAAAAAAATAATGTGAGAAAGTGCGAGTGACTGTGAGAAAGTGAATGATGGTGACGGTGAGAACTACAGAAAAGAAACAGCAAGCGAGACAGAGACAGACAGAGAGAGAGAGAGAGACAGAGAGAGACTGAGACTGAGAGCGCGACTGAGAGCGAGAGGAGTGAGAGATACAGAGAAGAGCAAAAGCGAAATAGAGGGAGAGAGAGAGTGAGTGTCTGCACAGCGACAGGGAGGGGTAGTGGGCCAGCGCGAGAGAGAGGATAGACGACATCGAAGGGGAGAAAACAAGGAATATCGAGACGCGACTTGTTAGAGTCGGGCGGCGCATCTCCTCACAGACCGGCATGGCCGAACTCTCCTGCCACTTGAGGTATGGTCGTGGTTACTTTTGACCCTGAACCTTCGGGCATCGAGGATCCTAGCTGTGATGACCCGTTAAGCTTCAGGATTCATCCTGCTTGCGTGCTTTGGGGAAAGCTGGCTTCAAAGCCTTTTGCGGAGGCCGAGTAGAAATCGGCAACATCACCGGAGGCCAAAACAGATATCCCACATAGCGGGCTTCTATGCCTTCAACTTCATATCCCCTGAACCCTTTTGACCTAAACCCTAAACCCTAAACTTCCTACTATGCACAAACCTCCCTGAACGGCTCTGCTCCCAGAGTGCAGGAGCCCAACCAACACTGCCCGCTCATCCCACTTGCAGCCCAGTGGGACCCCAGAAGCCAGACAGCTCAACAAAAAGGCGAGTTAACTGCACCTCTTGGGGAAGGAATCACAACACCCAGTAAGGAAGCGAACTCGGACATGATGCCTTGCCGTAGATCAACTCCAGGCGCTCCACCTTCAAACGAGGAGCTTAAAAAGGGATCTGCGAGTATGGCTTCAAGAGAGCTCTGGCCGTTGTGTGCAAGCTTCTGCTCGCCCTGAAGCATTGGCCCTTCTTCGAAACAGGGGCCGATGGGAAGTATGAAACTGCGAGGTTGGGCCACAGCACGCTGGAAACCTGGTCATAGTACCTGAGAGCCGTACAGCGGTGGTTGGAGATCGGGGCGCTTCGGACGGTCTCTGGCGAGGCTTAGAAATCTTCAGTCTGACGCTCCTCGACCCGAAGCAGTCGCCGACTCTCCCAAAGCTAGCTATCCTGACGTGGCACATTGACTCATCTGCGAGGTGTATGAACTAGTGAGCAAGAACCAGCTTAAGCTAACCGAAACAACCCTGAAAAGCCAATGAACAGAGCCCCACGCACCCTGAAAGTTACTACGAGTACCTGTGGCAAGTGGCCGGGCTAGCCTAAACCATAATGACAGAATCTAGATTGTCCAGGCCGGTCCTCGCGCGAGAGGCTGATAGCATCTGCCAGTGACAGCATGCCATCCCCATCCAGGTCATACAAGGCAAAGGTGAGATGGATGCGCTCCTGGCGACGACGTAATTCTGGGAGTTTTGGGTACATGAGTTTGCAGCTGAACTTGTTGGGGCCTTGGGGGGTTGCTCTGGTTGCATGGATTCGGTTGTGAGAAATACCTGTGATGCCCGCGCTGCCTGCACCTCAGCAGACCTTTTTCGCTTTATCCCAACTGCAACACCAAAGTATGAACTCAAAACGGCATTATTGCCCTTGATGCTATATAATAGAGTGGGAAGCTCAGCTCTAGACCAAGCAGTGTCAGAAAGGAATGATATGTTGAATCATTCTGGCCCCTGCATTCCGGGAAGCTCGTCCTGCAAGGAGTACCAGTCTCCGTTGCGGTAACGCTCCTGGGCCGAAAGTGGATGCGTTAGGTTGTTTTCGGGTTTAAAAGGTTTTCCCTTTGAAAGGTTGAACTTAGGTTCAGGGTTTGGGGTCCCCTAAGCCCGATTCTCACTCACGCGCAAGGCAGGCAAGGCTTAGGGTTTAGGGTTCCCCAAACTCTTCTGGGCTTTGAGCTCGTGCTTCGGAAAGCCTAAACCGGAGAACGGGAACATGAAGTGCTTCGCCGTGGGAGACTCCACGATTGAATTTAAAACGGTGTGGTGAGTGCTGCTCCATGAGCACCATAGGGTGGCAATAAGAATTTGACTAGAGTTTTGGGGCATGTTATACTACAATCATAATCGGAACTCGAAGGAATACTGTGTGTTTAGGGTTCTTGTTGAAATTGGAGTACAATGTGCCCCAAAACACTATTCTACGGGCCGAGTCAAGGAACCAGGAACTGCGCCCACTCCAGGATGCCGACGGGGCTGCCCTTCGGGGACACCGCTTCAAATAGGCGTCCTGTCTGGGATCTTCGTGGCAAAAGGGAATTACGGCTCAGAGTAACGAGGGTTAGCAAGCTTCAGATGCAGATTGGGAAGTAGCTTCCCACCCATGCCCGAAACAACAAAACCGAAGCAGCACAATGCACGTGGATTTTGCCCCATTAACCCCAAGCGACAAGAGATGTCTCTCCCTAGACTTTCGCGATCTGTGAACCAGAGATGTGCCCGGTTTGCAGGATGGGACAAATCCTCGAACTCGAAACACCTACACTGACCTACACCTTCATGCTTGTGTTTCGTGCAATCCTGCGATGTCGCCGACGGGGATTCCGAAAATCCTTGGGAGCAGCAGTGCGAAAGCGTACGGAGTATGCGATACATCCGCATGTCACATATCTTTTTTTAGACATGGGGCTGTTTCAGGCTCAGGATTATTTATTTCCAGCAGTCAGACGAAGCACTGAACCCTCGAGACAGCATGCGTGTGATGTACGTGCATGTATATCTACACACACATATATATATACATACATACATACATACATATATACACAGATATGTATATATAATTAAAGCATCAATGCAACAAGTGAAAAAGAAATAATTCATCATACACAGACACCTACCTACGTACAGTCTTGCATACATACCTGTATACCTACATAAATAACCATGCAAGCATACGTACAAACATGCATACACATTCAAAAAATCATGCATGTGTCAACGCAAGCCAACCAACACATCAGAAGTGTGCATACATATGTATATACATAGAGTTATGCACACATGTGTGTGTGTGCATGCAAACATATGTGCAAGCATGTAACTATGTAATAATGCATTACGAAAGCCAATGAATGAGTAAGTATGTGTGTACCTATGTCTGTATGTACACGTGCAGTATTGTATACATACATGTACATATTTATGCGTGTATTTTATTGGTACATATACATATATATATATATACATACATACACACATACGTACATTCACGTGTGTGTATATATATACACATTCTTATACAAAACTATATTTAGTATGTTTGCGTATATGCATTCGTATTTACCTCGCATATACATATGTTTATACACACACACATGCGTGTGAATGAGTGTGTTGTTTCTTTGCATTCATCGTATTGTTTATGTAGCCTTTGCAGCATGTATATTCGTGTGGACCTTACGCATACAGAGCTACACAACGAAACGATGCAAGCAGACATACGTGCTCACCTGGAAACATTGCGTTAAGTTGGCATCTGCTGTGAGTTCTGCTCTGAACAAGCATGCAAACGCGAAGCTTGTGCGCCGATACGACGAGCCGTGCCCGCTGGATCAACCAGTCCTGTTGCAACCGGCGCAAGGCGCCATTCTTTCACAGTCTTGCACATGTGCGGCTCTCTAACACTGGTCAACAGCGGCGATCGTGACGGTGTTTACGCCTGCCTAGGGTACTTGCAATCCTGGAAACTTCGGGCATGGTAATGGTGTGCTCGCGCTGAGCCGCTCAAAACAAAGGAAATCCGGCACCTCGTCCCGAAGCGCCTCGAAGACATGCATGTGCCAGGAGAAATCCTAAGTTTGCCAAGCATTTTTGGAGTTTAGGACATTTAGTTGGGGTGTAAGGAGAACGAACATTCGGAACGAATCTGTGGTCTTAGACGGCCTTCAACACTCCAGCACCCCAGAGCACTTGGCACTTGTGAGCGCTCAAACCCAGCATGATGCTACCAATCCCCGTTTAACCAAGCCGGAACACTGCCTCTTTGAGAAAGGGGAGTCGAGCACGAAGCTCCTTCATTTCGGCCTGATGCTTTCCAGAACTCAGGAAGATCTGAAGGAATCGGGTCAGGTTCTGTGGGTCTAACGGCTATGATTTTGATTCCTCTGCAACCGGTGGGCAGCCGAAATGCTTGAGGCTGCCCAGGTTGTGGTTTCCGGATCGCTGTATAGTGTTCATAGTGTCTTGAATGAGGCTTGCAGCGGCTGTAGATATCGTCAAGAACAAAAGGGACGGTGCCAGACGGGCACGATGATGCCTGCAAGCTGTATGACGGATAGGCCCGGATAGGCTTAGAGCCCGTTGGCCTCGCACCCCTTATGCACACGGCGCTATACCACAAAGAGGTCCAACAACATTTGGGACAATGATAGGACAAGTGTATCTGTCACAAGAACATAAAAAGCCTTATGTGCACCGCAAGCGAAACGTAACCTTCTGCACCTTCACCAGAAACATCATCATCATCATCATAGTCACCAAAAGGAAGATACTCATCATCCTCGACTCGGAACCACCACCAGGACCATCATCAGGGTCATTACTGTGAGCATCGCCAGCATGACCACCACAATCCAGCACCACCAGAACGACCACCAGCTCTTTGACCACCATAATCTTTAAACAACATGGTTAGTTGTCTAAACTCGGCCCCCTTATAGTGCTCAAAAATACTACGCCACCCTGATAAACAGCACCCTACGAAGCGCTGCGTATTTAGAGAACTACCCACGTGGTAGTCGTCGTCGCCCTATTACCATCCCAGAACCATAACCATCACCATTAGCATCTCCATCGCAGACCTTCTCCAAGGACGATCGAACATTGGTACAAGCACGTTTATATATATATATATAAAAGCGAGAGAGAGAGAGAGAGAGAGAGAGAGAGAGAGAAAGAAAGAAAGACAGAGAGAGAGAGAGAGCTACCGTCGCAATTGTCAAACTTATAACCCCAACCACCAAACTTAATTATGTTAGTCCCCCTTTACACCCCGTCAAAAATCCGAAAACAAATCCTATTAGAACCCTGGAGAACCCCAGAGAACCTCCCACTTAAAGCCCTCTCTCACAGGAGTGGGCCTCGAAGCGCTCGAGGGCTGCGGCAGCTCCTTGGTTGCTACCTGGGCTTCGGGTCGGCTTCGGACGTAGGGCTGGTTTAAGTCTTCGGGTTTAGGGTTCAGGACTTTAGGGTTCAAGGGTTTGGAGTGTAGAGGTTGAGGGTTTAGGGGTTTAGGGGTTTAGGGGTTCAGTGGTGCAAGCCAGTAGGCATGAAGGTGCAAGCCAGTTGCAAAAGGGTTGAGGGGGTTCAGGTCCTAGGGTGAGGGTTCAGGAGTTGGGGTACAGTTTAGGGTTTAGGGTCCAGGGGTTTAGGGTAAGCTTTTAGGCTTTGAAGTTGCTACGGTTGGAACTCTCAAAAGCTCGAAAGGGGAAGCATCCGATCTCACCCTGTCAGCCCCGTCGGGCTTCATAGTTCGGGCTGCCTGTGGTTGCGCATCGGCACGGAGCAGGTCTTCTGAAGAGAGTCGGGAGCAGAGTCCCAAGGCACCTAAAGTAGGAACCGGCAGCCGCCAAACCTGCCAACCTTGAACCTTCCGGGGCTTCCCACTCGATTGTCTACATCAAAAATAACACAACCCACCCTTGGACCCACAGCCATAAGCGCAACTGATCTTGGCAGAAGCACCTGGCTCTGCCGGCTTCACGGCGCTAGCGAACCTGGCCGTGATTTCGGGCTGACAAAGTATGGCCTAAGCTGTTTGCAGCATGAAAAAACCGCTTCTATACCACCATTTCACTTCATAACTGCATTACTATAAGATCGAAGTTTATCCGAACTTGGTATAGTCCGGCTTGAAGCGGTTTAATAGCTCCGGGTTTGGGGTGCCGAGTTTGTGGAGCTGAGTTATCAACGTAAGTCCTCAGGGTTCCTAGTACAGTTACACAAATCTGTAGAATATACCCCCGGACCCGAAACCCCAAGCAATTGGGGGCTTAGAGCTTCGGGATTTTTTTCCCTCCCACCTAGCAAGGACGAGCCCGCATTGCTTCGGGATTAGGGTTTAGGGTTGTTTAAGTTGAGGTAGATTCCAAGGTTTTTGCGGATTGATCTTAAATCTTAACACCACAAAGACGTAAGGAGCGCATGCATGCTTGCTTCTGTTTGTTTTTCAATCAGCAGAACGTTGAACGAAATTAGGTTCTTGTTGGGGGGTTATATTTGACCTTTTGGAAATACCTTTTGGATCTGTGGTCAACCTTCATTATCATGAAACGAGACGAGGGTTTGATCAAATTAAACTCAGCAAACGAGCTCACACATAAAATTCACTCACTCCCCAACTCCAAAACCGTCTCCTGAACCTTATAAATCTTGTATTAAACCCCCAAACCCCAAAACCTTTTTGCCCAATACCGCATCAAACTAAGTAACTACTCTGGCTGAAACTCTATGTAAAGCTTCAAACTCCAAGAGACCCTACAGGCAACCGAGGGGCTGGTGAGGCGCTGCCGACTCCGGCGTGGTCACCTCCACGATGTAAAAAAAGGCATCTTAGAGCTTTTGGTTCTATCCTCCGACGGTCGAGGTGTAAGCCTGTGGTGTTAGATCGGGGCCTTCCAGGCTCTCTGCGTTTTGCGGAGTTCAGTGGGCAGGCATTCAGCTCACGACTCCTGCGTCTCCTCGGTGACATCTCCTCGAGAATTGTAAAATTGTAAAACCCCCCTGTAAATGGGATCGACATATCAACTCGCTGCCTTCACCTTCAGTGTCACCGTGGACTTCTTGTCCCGTCTGGAATGCCTGGGCCCGGAGCTCTGCTTCGTCGTACGGCTCGAGTGAAGAAACAGGTCCCAAGGCTAAGAGCTGTGTCTCCTAGCCTCGGGTTGCTACTTTTTGTCGCCCTGTGGCACAGGAGTGTCAACACCCCTAGCATGCGACACTTTGCAGCACGTGCTCGACGAGTTCGCGGAAGGGGTAGCATACCACAAGCAAGATTCAATTTCAGTAGGTGTTACTTTCGTCATGAGGACCTCCAGAGTCTAGAGTCCCTTTTGCAGCAGGCTTCTCTCGCCCGGAACAGCCCTAAGCCCTAAACCCTGAGTCTAGCGTCCCTTCCATCGGGAGCCCGTCAGACCCTGAGCCACAACCCGAGCTGGCCGTTCGAAGTACCTGCAGAGCAGAGTTTACTTGCTTCATCGTTCATCGGAGGGGGACAAAGTGAATCTTCCTAGGGTCATTTGGATAGGGACTTCCACCCGGTATACCAAAACCATCGAACCCCCCGGGCTCTAGCGGGCCCAGCGGCTCCTCCTGCGTCAGCGTCA